TGAAATTAACGACACGCCCGGAACACTCATTACGAACTCTGCCGCAATATTTAAGTTACAATACAACACGCAAACGATTTGAACCTGGTCTCAACCTCTTCACGTTCCCAGTAGTGCATTCCGCCCCCCTAAAATACAATTGATGCTATCATAGAAACCACATCAACTTGTTTTTCACTCACATCTTAAACCTAGTGGTAGACTCAATTCAGAAAAACTTATCTAATGGGAAAAGCTCACCCTTCATCGCGTGCTCATAGTTATATGCCAAACACTATGTTTCTTTGACTGATTATCCAGTTGCAAATGATTATCCAACCCGCACACAAAATCCTCAGCCTAACCCACAGAAAATGTCGACGTAAGCCCAATATATGAATACTTCCTCCTCTTTTATAGAAGAATAAATATGGCCGTTCTGAACTGTATCGGGATCAAATCTTCTCTCATACCATTTACTTTTACAACAAGAAATTTGATTGGTTGTTTATAGTAGATCCAATCTGATTGGGGTGACATGCATACATATCTCACTCACTCATCCATTGACCCATCCGTAACATACCCGACTCGCCGACTAAGAGGTATTTGTTTTACAAAAAAAATAACTCAAAAATGGACTTGGGAGACTCACTGGCTCATTTTCGTACCAGTCAAACTCTTATAAACAGCTTGTACCTGGTAATATTAAACCATTATTTTTCTTATTCTCGGTATTGGACTGGAACTAGCATGGAAAGGAGGCTATTGTGGGGATTGTTATCTCTTTTTAATGATAAAACCCTGCATGAGCCTCGACTGCAAGCTAGTTCCAGTCCAATACCGAGAATACGAAAATAGCCTTCTTAGAATGGTCTCAATGGACCAATTTCGATATATTAAAATTCAGCCTAACACAATAGACCTCAGCACGAGGCGCTGGGGAATAAACCCAACAAACTTTGTAGTTATTCCCCAGAGCCTTGTACTGAGGTCTATTGTTCAAGGCTGAATTTTAATATATCGAAATTGGTCTATTGGTCTCCTATTGGTAACAGAAGAAAAACGGTAAATCTATGCTATGACTAAAGTGAACAACTTCTCCGAAGTGGCTGAGTTGAGTGTCCTAACACGGAGGCTGTCCATCTGGGAGGTTTGTAATACACCTGTATACAACAGGATCAGGTTTTGAAATAAACGTTTGATTGTTTGGTTGTTGTTTATTTATTCTTTTTTAAGTTTTGTGCACGAGCCAAAAAAATCTTTTTGGACGTTTAACTTTGTAGTGAATGTCCAACTCTACTCAGTAGTTAGCAGTGAACAAAACACATGCAAAACAAGTGCAATCCTTTCACCTCATTATATAGACACGAGTGTTTTACTGAAAAGTACACCACTCGTGAAATTCATACGAATTTTATATCCTGACTAGTGAGGATATTGATGACGTCATTTCCCGCCGTTTCACGGTTGTCTGTGCAAACAGTCAGTTTGTCTAGATAGTAACAAAAATATTACACGGTGACTTGAAGATATGAAGTTGAAAACAATAGTGTTAAAAACAATTGTGGCAAAATGTTATTTTTACCACTCGAAAATAAAAGTCATATCTTTGTGCCGCGGAGTAATTCTCTATATATCATTGTAAGGTACTCAGTTACTGTATTGTAAGGGGTCACATAGGATCACAACCATCAGCAATAAAAGAAGTTGCATTAGTGAAATTTAGATTACGTAAACGTACTCAATTCATCAGTACTCAATGTTTGCAACCTCTCACGTACATATTTTTGTACACTTTTTTTGTTAAAAAGGAGAAAATCAGCAAAGGAAGTGGGCTATGAAAGAGAGGCAAGAGAGTGAAATGCAGTTGAAGTTAGCGCACCCGGTCCCAAGCCCTACACTTGGTTATATTTCTTCGTTAGCGCGTGCGCTTGATGTATGACGTGGCTTGTCGTTGCGAAACGAATTACGCGGGCAGAACGGATGCGCAGAAGCAATGGGCGTCCTACGTAGACGCTATTGGGGCTGGCACGCAATCTTCTTCTCCCCTACGAACGCGTGACGAGCCATAAGACCGCGTAGGGGGTTAAGAACATTTGAAAGGCAAAAAGCTTACATATTATTTATTGCTCGTCTCAATTGACTTACACTGAGCTGGAAATCAAAATACTATTGATTATCATTTGTACGCACAATAGTAAGCACGTCCTTCTGAAATCGAACCAATCACTTATGCCGATTAAAAAATGGTTCAACGTGATTAGCTACTGGTTCGCCGATAAAAGTTCTATTAATGACATAATCAGGTGATTTGGTAGCACGAGAGCCAATACCACAGATGCAGACTTCTAGTATTATAAATTTCTGCTAATCGTTTTCATGTATTCCTTTGACACGATGCTCTCGGTTCCACTTTTGGTAAAGACAACGACCTATTTTGAAGCGTCTATGTTATATGAATAGCTTGGTAGCGGCTGAATGACTCCCTCTGTCCAGCTCTTATGTCGCAGATATACCGATACAAGTAAGGTGCTCACGTCTAGGATAATAGGCAATTTGCTTACCCAGTGCTTAACACATGAGCTTAAGGCGTTGTCCAAGCATGAGTTCTATTTTGTACTCTCGTCTTGCAACTTTATCTTAAGGTGATTAATCTCTACTAAAGAAACTCAGCAGCCGAAAAAAAAAATGCCACTAATAGCCATAGGAAGATTCTTCAAGATTCGTCTATGGCCACTCCCTATCTCCACCAACACAACCAAAGCAACCCCCACCATAAAGTTTTGCCAATGACAAACCGGGGCTTAATACGGAGAGGCAGCAAAGAAATCCTCAAACGTCCATTACATAATCCATTTACATAGAACATCCAAAATCACTGCCACCCCTAAAATCACTGAAAGAAATGCAAACAGAACAGCTCAATTAATCTCCACCACCACCACAGCCGCCGCCGCCGCCACATCCACCTCCGCATCCCCCTCCACCACAGCCACCCCCTGCTCCACATCCACTACCACCGTCACCACCTCCATCTCCTCCACCCACGCATCCTCCACCACTATCGCCCCCAACACAGCCTCCACCATCTTCACTTCCAACACAGCCTCCACCGATACCATCACCCGTGCCAATACATGCACCCCCTTCTCCATCCGAACCACATCCATCTGAGACACTGTCAGAGGCAGCATTTTCCCACTGGATCCATTCAAAAGAAATATCTTCGCTGAAATCGAGGACTTTCTCAATCAAATCCATCACAGGTTGGTAAACATTTCTGGGTACTTTTTTACTCAAGTATCCGGCGGTGTACAATGAGGGAGAGACGTTAGTCGATGAAGTGTGAGACTGAGGCATGGGCATACAAAGAAGATACAAGATAGAGATTGAGCATGCCAAAGCAAGAATCTCAGGAATGTGTTGAGCACGAGGGGAGATCACAACTCTATTCCTCAGAAGATCTATTCGCACCAGGGTGTCAGAATCAACTTTAACCAGGAACAATCCACCCTTTGATTTTCGAACTGAGCACCAGCCTCGTGCGCCAAACAGATTGTAGACCTTTATGCTCACGTAGTGTTGCTGCTTCTGCTTTTTTCCACCAAAATACTGCTTCCACTTCCCTCTTCCCCTGTTGGCTGGGTTCATTATCCGCAGCATACCAATGCAGACTGCCCAATCCTTGTTACCCCGGATCAGCATGGCTCTCTCACCTTCATCCTTGTTCAGAAAAATGTTCTTCCTTTGATCCTCAACAGCAATTCGTTCTGGAAACGTATTTGGACTGAGTGTGTGAGCTGATGCCACAACGTGATCACGGGTGTTAATAATCTCTACTGCAGATAGCGAAGCATCTGACGAGTGAACAACGCGGCAGGTGAACACTCGATTACCTTTCCAGTCAAGGACAGGGTGGCTGGAATAATCACATGCCAAATGTGACTTAGCCAGATCGTTGGGAGAGAGTATCAGCTGTGGACAGCTAAGGATCATGGATGGGTGGTCACTGGGGGTAAAATTTACCTCGGGCTGAATGTCAAAGCAGTACTTCATGATGGATGGTGGTTGATCAATATCGATTGTAAGCTTTGCAGTGTACTGTCCTCCATTTAGGGGAACATCAATGGTGATCTGCAGATCAGGTGCAGTATCGTCAAATGGAACCGCCTCAAAATAGGGAAGGAGGTCTAGTTGACTCTCGGCGATCAACTTCTTACCAAACAGCTTCTTCTTAAAAAGGCAGATATTGATGATGTGCTTGGATTGATTGTCAAACTTAAACTTTCGCGGGATAGCCGCAGCTACCAGAAAACCACCTTTGAAATTCTGAGAAAAAAGTGGCTTTCCTATCTTGCTGTCCACTCGAAGAAGGAAATTTTTCCTGCTGTTTAAGGATGCTTGGATTCGCTGAATTTCACACGCATATTCAGACCGTGCAAGAGGAGCATAAAGCCAATTAGGTGTCGTTGGACTAGGATCAGGTGGATCACCTCTGTACATGGCACCTGCTTTCGGAAAGCGTAACCCTGCCTTCTCCCACACCGACCTCGTCTTAATTTCAGCATCGTATAATTTAGATCCTGGGGTTCGACCTGTTGCTCTATCATCGTGGTGTAACGGCTTTCCAAGCAATTCTTTTGTCGCGTGCTTGTAATTTAATGGGTGAAGTTGATGGGCGTGCCAGATTAGGTCAAAATCATAGCAAGGAACCATGAATACCTCAGGGTGTAGCCTCTTTAGCTGCAGATGGTGCTCATAACGCTTCACAGCGCTGTTGAGAAACAAGTCGTCACTGTAGTGTGGCAAGGAAACTTGGTAATAAAACTTGAACTGACGGTAGCAAGCTTCTTCCAGATTGTACTGAATCCTGGATCGATATTCTGCGAACACTGGCGGAGGATTTGTAAGATCTACTTCAAAAGGCTCTCCTGGATATGTTTTAATCCACCGATGCCTTGTTGAGAGGAGGGATAAGTTTCTTTGTGTGCTGTTTAAGGGAGCGTGATCCAACACTGTGGATACAATATTGAGGCAGTCCTGCTCGTAGTAAAATGGAGCCAACATGTGTACGTGCCAGACCCATGCGATGTCCAATGGAGCTGCTTGGAGGGCGGGCGATGAGCCAAATCTTGAAGCAAATGGCAACCAAAAGAGCTCATATCGTCTGATGGCGTTTTTNCCATTTCCGACCCAGTCTTCTCAACGCAAAGAATCTACCCCTTTGCACGTGTACTCGAATTACCCACTTGCCCGTCATTGCCTTTCTGTGTCATTGTTAACCATCGCAGACAGCTCAGCATATTGTATTTCTTTTAGACACAATTGGCGCTTTTATATAGTTTTTAGTTTGTATGTATATGATCTTTGTTTTAAGCACGATTAGGTTCGTTATTTTCAGGCTAGGTATTGCTGCTTTATTCATTATTTTGCAGCCACTCATGCTGCTGTTGCTGGCAATTTCATTGTTTGCCAAAGTACAGCTTCTGTATATGAAGACATGATCATCGCAGTTATACACACAACTTAAGCAGTTGTGAAATTACAGCCTGAAAAAAAAGAAAAAAAAGAAAAAAGAAGTCAGGCCTGAACGGGATCTCGTTCGGGCCTGATTTTTTTTTTCCAGGCTTTAATTTCACAACTGCGTAAGTTGTGTTTAACTGCGATGATCATGTCTCCATATCTTTCTCCGCATGGTTCAAATATATGATCATTCATATATTCATTAGCATACAACTTCTGTCGCCAGAATTTTTCTGTGAAGGCACGATGCAATCACCTCCCGTTTTTTGAAGCCTGTAGTATTGCAACTAGCCCATGTCCGCACGTATTAAATAGTTTTTCGAACGTGCGATTGACCATGCCGGTTTGGAATGCATGGCAATCTGCCTTTCCCTGACGGAGCCTTTATCAACATATGCACGTGCACGCATGCTCTATGGCACGCAACATACCAATTTGTGGTCACGTTATTCAATCTTAGCTCTAGCTTCTAGAATCACGTCAGTCTTGTGTTCGTATATTAGTTCTGTTGCAAGGGAGTCAGATATTGAGGACACCCGTCTGGCATTTTTAAGCAATTGTCATGTCACTCGTCTCGAGCGCTTAAAGCGAGAAATCCGTTCGTCCGACAAACAGGGTACTCCAACATCCCGAAGAGTCTTAACGTATGTGTGTGCGTGCTCTACGCCACGCAACATTCCACTTGGTCACGCTAGATTTAGTTCATGAAGTTTCTAGGATCACGCCAGCCACATAGCGAGAGTATCGCTTTGATTTGGGATTTTGTAACTGTGAGGATAATTGGCATGATCAAGCTCGAGAAACATTCTTGGTCGGGCAGATCGACAGTGAGCAAGACTGTTTAACCTAGTACTTGCGATCAAGCGTTCTGAGAACGCCGTACCTCAGCTGATTGCAGACTGTTTTGGAAATGAAGCGTGATTTAGGCCAATGCGATCAGGCTATACATTGCTTTTACTCTATGGTATTTACTTACAGAATCTACTGTTTAGTTAATTTACTCACCCAAGTAACTTCTTGTGCAGAGCAGTTCGATGTTAGCGAGTGTCGAGCGCACTGCTTTCGTTCGACAGCTCAGCCATGAAGCGCTATACAAAATACCAGACGTGGACTGAAGTGCTTTTCAAAATATCACCCGCAGACTGGGACGAGTCAGACAAACAGTTAGGGAGGGGTGGGGCATTCATAACTCGCGTAGCAAGCGTACCCGCACTGAGGGCTTTCTTAGCATTCTGGCCGCGCGCAAATTAGAGCGGAAGCAAAAAAATCGACGAAGCAAGCGCCCTGCTTCATCGATGTCTTAGCTCGGCGCTCTAATTTGCGCGCGGCCAGAATGCTGAGAAAGCCCTCAGTAAGGGAACACTTGCGACGCAGGCTAGGTATTCCTTAGTACTTAGGTCAAGTATAAATACCGCAATGTGCTTTTGAAAGAGAACAAGCCGACAATGTTGTTTCCAACAATTTAAATTAAATTTATTGCACTAGAAGTTCCAACAA